GGCAGGGCAGGCTCAGAGCCTAGGGCCCAGGGTACTTTTAGGGGCCATAAAAATATTTTTTAACTTTTAATTTCTTTTAAAATCAAAAGAAAAATGAACATAATAATAAATATGTAATAATGAATCTAGTCTGGATTATATGTTCTTTTAACAACAGTTGTAAAATATAATTTCATATATATATATATATATATATACACACATATATATATTTAATGAAGGAAGAAGCAAAGTACCCATAAAGGCAAAAGTGTGTAAGGCCCATGAACATCAAAATGCAGCCTGCCAATAATCCATCCAAAGGCCCCACTCTTACCCTCCACAGCAATAGGCAGACCCCTCCCCACCACACACACAAATCATTACACTTTGGACTTCCACAAAGGCTCTTCCTTTAGCACATAATCATTCCACCCTCCAGCATAGCTACAGTGATACTGTCCCATGCTCCCCTCCCAGAAACTTTCTGTGCCCACTAGAACAGCTACCAATCCCTGCCTTGTCTGAAGCTCCAGAGAGTGCTGAGGCCCAGGCCAGAAGGTCTGATCCCCAATGGGATCAGACTGGGAGGTGCCGTAGTGGGTTGAAGAATGTCCCACCCCAAATTCATGTCCACCTGGAACGTCAGAATGTGACCTTATTTGGAAATAGGGTCTTTGTAGATGTAATCAGTTAAGAATCTCAAGACGAAGAATCATCCTGCATTTGGGATAGGCCCCTAAATCTAACGAGTGCTGTCCCTTTAAGAAGAGGGGAGGACACACAGAGGCCCAGAGAGGAGAAGGCCACATGAAGACGGAGGCAGAGACTGGAGCTTCACAGCCTCACGACAAGGAGCTGCCGGACAGACGCTGGATGGGGGGAGGCGCAAGGAAGGATTTTTCTCCCAGAACCTTCAGAGGGAGTGTGGCTCTGCCACATCTTGGTTCTAGACTTCTGGCTTCCAAAACAGTGAGAAATTAAATTCTGTTGTTTAAAACTACTCAGTTTGTGGTCATTTGCTATGGCAGCCGCAGGAAGCAAATCCAGAGCCCAGAGGGGAGAGGCAAGCCTCGGGCAGAGCTGGCAGTGACAGTGCAGATCGCTGAGGGGTGAGGGCTCCTCGGACAACCCCCGGCCTGGGCCGGCACAGCAGACGCAGCTGTCCTGTTCCTTTCCCACAGGCTCCGTGGGATCCCTGGAGGGACCCAGCACAGGCGGAGCCTCCCAGTCCTTCAGAAAGGGTCCTGTGCTCTTGGAGCCGCCGAGTAAGCTCCAGCAGGTCGGGGCCCTCACCTCAAGCAGCCCCTTGGGTCAGTGGTCTCCTAACTTGTGCTGCGATGGGAAATCTAGGGACAGGCCGCTGGCTCTGGCCTTGACTAGAAGGTCATCTCCAACACCTCAGAGATTTAAAAAATGCTACTGCCTGAGATGGCCTGTGGGTCTCTGGGTTGTCTCCCCCGTAGGTGGTGCTAATATACAGCCAAGACAGAGAGCCCCTGAGGGACCCACGAGAAACCCCGGAAGACTGCTGCTTCCAGATCCCAGCTTCTGCTCCCAGTGACCCCCCGCAGGGGCGTGAAACCTCCCGTCATGGCGCTAGTGCAGGTTTCCAATGGGTGGCCCGAGGACCAGGCCTGCAGGTGTGTTCCATCGGGACTACACAGGGGGTCAAGTCTTACCACAGTGCGGGTACCAGAAGTTGTCTTCTACGACAACTTCTGAAAGCAGTTTTTTAGTTGGGATTTTATACAAGAGAATTACTGCAGACGTTCATCTCACCAGGCTGTAAGTCTTGATCTTTGGCTTCTTCAGGTGAATGGCTTTAGATGGGGTGATGGGGGGTGGTGAGAGGCTGGTTAGCAAATGTCAAGAGGAGAACAAGGGGCACGTGTGTGGAGCAGGGGCCATCCCAGGCAGGAGGTGGCAGGGGGCCTGGTCTCCTCAGGCCTGCCAGCTGACAAGGTGGCAACCCCCGGGGCCTGCCAGGCAGACAGGACCCCTCCGAGGGGTGGAACAAAGAAACCCAGCTCTGCATGCCCCTGGTCCTCACAAGTCCTCACACCAGCCCTTCAGGGCCTCAGGCTTGTCCAGTCCCAGACTGAGGGAGGGCTCATGCACTGCCACCCAGCCTGAGGTTGAACCCCCCTGCCCCCCCTGCCCTGGCTGAGGGCCTCCCACTGTCCCTCCAGACACAAAGAAGGCACTTGACAAACATCTGCTGTCAGAATGAGTGAATGAGGAACACAGAGATGAGAGCCAGAAGCATACAAAAGGACGGGACAGAGGGAGGGATGATTCTGTCCTGGGAACTGAGTGTCTCAGCTAATGGGGCGGTGGGGGGCTCTGTTGGCTGAAGAAGAGGATGTCTGAGGGGGTTGGTGGGGAGTGGCCAGGGACAACCAGGAACATTCCCCAGAGCCCTTGGGGATCTTGTCTACTTCCCAAATGTCTCTGCCACCATCTTCAGAAAAACAAAATAAACAATACCATTTCCCTCTCTCTTTCTCCAGAGAGTTCATTAAAATGGCCTGTGTATGCACAGATTTGGATCCCTGGCCTCCCAGCTTAATTACCATTTTAAAGAGCATTGGGAAAGAAATTCTATCTGCTGCAATAACAAAGTCAAAAAAGCCCCAGGTGGGGAAGGTCTTGCTCACCTTTGGGCTTTCTCTCCTTCTCACCAAGACATCTGGCCCCTGTGGCCTCTCGGCCTGGCGGGGTCTGAAAACCAAGGCAGAGTGCCTCTCCAAGCCACTTTGGTACCAGAAGGCGCTTGACACCAGTGATGGCCAGGCCCTATGCTGGGCCTACGAATGCAGTGGCAGATCTGAGGGGTCCTGGCCTCAGCCAAACGCAGAGCCCTTCCAAGGGGCCAGAGCACACAGGAGTTCTTGTGGAACTGGGAAACTAACGGAGACCTGCGGACAACGTGCTAGGGCAGAGCGCGCCGTAGCAGAGAGACGAGGGAGGGCCCCATCTGCAGAGCAAACAAGTGCTCTGAGTCTTGATGAGTCAGAAGAATGTTTTACAGCAGAGAAGTGGAGAGGGAAGGTCATTCCAGCTGAGGTGACACTATGAGCCAAAGTGCGGAGGTGTGACTGTCGCCTGTGTGGGGAGCAGCGAGTAGAGAGGCCTGCAGGACCACAGGATGCAGGCAAGCAGTAGGCAATACGAGAGGACAATGGAGATGGAGGTAGGGGGAGATTCTGAGAAACTCAAAGGACATGGGAGGAGTCGAGGCCTTGATCCAAGCCCATGAGAATCACTGGTCACTGCAAAGGCCCTGGGACCGTATCTGCTGCTACCTACAACCAAGAACAGTAGCCAGCCAAGAGTCCCATTGTTTCCAATGGGACACCAACGAGAGGCATTATAAATAACTTAGTATTTTTTAAAAAATCAAATAATCAAAATAATATCTGCAAGGTCATTCATATACAAACACGCACACACACAAATAAATGCATACCCAGTTAGACTTCAGACCGGAAGTCTGTTAGAACTGTAATCTCAAAGGAAGACCGATGTGGCAGAACTCCCTTATGGGGAGGCCTCGGGCCCAGCCTGGAGAGAACACAATGAAGACAAAGTGTGGCCACGACACATTGTAAAGCCAGTGCCCAGGGTTGTGCAGAGAACTCAGGGCCCCCTCCCAGAGCGGCATGTTCTTACCCTCAGCCAACTCCTCCCAAGGCCATTAGTTATCTGGTATTTCAGACACAGCAGAGGAAAAGCAGGGAATTAGAGGAGGCAGAGGGTGTATGTGAGACAAAGACAAGGACTGGTCCTGAGGGAGACAGACAGACTAAAGAGCAGACACAGGACTGTAATCTGCACTGAGCTGGGCTCCGCATCCTCTGTGAGTCCAGGGAAGAGAGGGACCTCTTTGCACAGCAGTCCCCAGTTTGTGCTATAAATACGTGTCCTCTGAGGGCTCCAGAACAAAAGGATTCATGATCAAACACATCTGGGAGATCATGCACACTATATCCCTCTACCAGCAGATCAAAACCATGTATCAATGTAGTAAAAGCCTTGAGAAGTCCTGCAGTAGAAAAGTCGACTGGCTTTTGTTTACCGGTGTTCCCTAAATCTGTATAAGCACCGAACCTTCGTCCCTACCTTTTCTTCTCGAGTAACACCAGCTAACATCTCTTGGAACTAGTATCTTACAGAACCCACTGGCTTAGAAAAATGATTATTTGTCTCTTTGTTAAGGAAGAAAATATCTCTTTTTCCTTAAAAATAGTTGAAATGATGCAACTTGGTGCCTTTCACAAAAAGCCATAGTTGCAGGGGAAATTCACTTCATCTGCACAATCCTCCTGACTCACCAGTAAGGCCAGGAGAGTGCAATGTTACTAACTCCCAGGAGCTCAGTCTTTGGGCCTCCTGGAGCTACCTATGGGCCACTGGTTGGCCCCAGACCTCTCTCGAGAGCCAGGAGCCACAGAGGTCCCTCTGTCCAGCCTCCTGCCCTCGAACAGCAGTGCAAGCCCATCACAACCAGCCTCTCTGGGAAGGAAGTGCCTCAGCAACCATGCGTGCTCACACACATGCACGCGCCTGTGTGTAGAGGTCCAGCAAACACAACCATGCTTGAGGGGCAAGTTTTCTTACTGCTCTAATTTTCATCTCCCTCGTTTTACATCTTGCCTATCCATTCTCCTCTACATGACGACACTCCAAGGTACCAAACACTGTGATGGTTTAGACCTGCCCTCGGGGAGCAAGAGAACAGAGACTGAAACGTGTCCTCTCTCTGTTTTTAGAATTTTCCTCTTGAAAGTGTTTCCTTTACCAGGGTTTGGATTTTCAAAAGAACTCTGGGTCTTTACTGGGCTGGGGCCAGCGCACAGAGGGGAAGCTTTTCTGAGGCAAAATAGACACCCAGGGGCCCCAGCACCATCGCGTTCTCGTCCAGCGTGAGCAAGCCCTGGGGAGAAGCCAGCATGGTCTCTAGGCGGCTGTCTTGGCTGCAGACATGGTGGGGGGGGCAGGAGCACCCAGGACCTCACCTGGTACGTGTTGTCGAAACTGTCGTACATGAACCGCGTGATCAGAGACGTCTTCCCGACTGCAAAACAAGAAGAGAGGGGTTCAGCTGGGGCAGCACCAAGCAAGAGGTCCCCCGCCAGCCCCAAGAATTCTCACCACCCACACCCAGGTCTTCCTTGAACCCCAAGAGCCCGAGTGAGGCAAGAACCATATATGAACAATCAGAGCAAGTTGGTGTAAGACAAGATGCTGCTCTCGCTTGGGCCCATGTTCACTTGAAAATACGTCCTTGCCATTGGCCACAGGCTGGGATGGAGGCATGCTCCTTTTTTCCCCATTCGCTCAGCCTGGGAACTAGTAAGGAGGGTGGCTTTCCACGGAACCAGGGGGGCAGTGGAAGTAAATGGGCTATCATCTAGTGTCTCTCAAGGGCAGGACTACTTTTTGTAGTGTGTACCTGATGGTCTAGCTCCTCACAAGATGTTTAACATCCTTGGACCTTGCCAGGTAAACACTGGCGTGATCCCTAGGCATTATGTCAACCCAGGACTCCCCTCCCACATTTGCAAATGCCCTCGAAGGGACAGTAATACCCCCAAACAAGAACCACTGGCATGGCTGAGAGAAACCAGGTAGGCTCTTGGGAATTCCACAAATGTTGCTAATTTCCCAAACTGCGGGGCGTGGCTGATGACCTAACCCTGTGCAGGTCCCCTGGGGCCTGGCATTGGCAGAAATGCCTACCGCAGCATTTCTTATTATCTGGGAGGGGAGGAAGGGTGACAAAGGAACATCTGCCGGGTCAGGCCTAGCAGGGACTGCTTCTCTACAATGTCCCATCAAGTCTCTGCCATGGCCCTGGGAGACTCAGAGGGGAGACTAGCCCAGCTGGGCTTGGCTCAGAGCCCCTCCTGCTCTGGGCTGCAGGAGACAGACAACCCTGGCAGGGAAAGCAAGAGTCAGCACCTGAAGGTTCTCCATCCTGCCTCTCCCTGATTCTTGGGTGGAATGTCTACAGGCTGCGTCTGGTGGGGTGGCTGGTCACTGCCTTGATGGAGCAGGGCAACCCAACTTGGCTCCTCTGGGAAGGGTCCTTTGCCAATTTTGAAGCCTTAGTAGTACACCATATAAGAAACAAGCAACCATCTTCCAACAGCCAACATTTCTAATGGAAAAACAATTGTCTTCTAGCCAGAAGGCACATTTGACAGACTGGGGCAAATTTAGATGGCCCCATCTTTGACCCAGAAGTGATTAGCTGGATTTAAATCCTAGCTGGGGTGCTATTTAGCTGTGTCATTCTGAGGTGGCCATTGCTCCTCTGGACCTCAGTTCCTCATTTTAAAATGGGTACAATAACATCAAAGATTTCAAAGAGCAGTGGTAAGAATTAAATAAGAGTGCCAGGAACATAGGAAATGCTTAAAAGTGGAAGGAGGCAGCAGGTAACTGAGATATTGAGAAAATTTCCAGAATATCAGATAAAAAAAAAAAAATACTACCATGACCACTGGCTTGACCTTGCCCATCGTATGTCTCTTCATTTGGCTGTTTCTGACTTGTATCCTTTATAATCAAACTATAATCGTAAGTAGAACACTTTCTAGAGTTTCTGTGAGTTGTTCTGGTAAATTACGGAAACTGAGGAGGGTCATGTGAACCCCTGAATTTGTGGCCAGTGGTCAGAAGTGTGGTGTCCTTGGGGAGCCCACTTGTGGCTGGCATCTGAAGTGGGGGGCAGTCTCATCAGGGCCATGCCCTTCAATGGGGGGGGTCTGATGCCAGCTCTGGGGGGCAGTGCTGGGTCATATACCAGCTGGTGTCACAAGAGCCACATTTCTATTCCAAACATCTCTGGGGTGAGCAGCGACATACCCATGATCTCTTCTAATCTAACTTGGAAACCGAAAGGTATTAATCTGTTAAGTGCTTTCCAGTTGCTTTAAATCTCCCTTTAACTTTCACATGAAGGTGAGAAAAGGAGGTTTCCCACACAGAAAGGCCTGGCTGCAAAGTGCTAAGGGGACCACAAAGTAAAACCTGGAGCCAGCAAGAGGCAGACAAAATTGAAGTGAACACAGCATCCTCCTTTTCTAAGAGAGAGTGGAAAGTTACCACTTCCTCAGGAAGACGGGGGTCGCGGGGCCCACTAGTAATTTCCCCAGGTGGTGACACACCGCATCTCGTGTCTTGGCGGGGAGAGGGGCGAGCATCAGGGAACAGGACGGGGAGCAGGAAGGGTGACACCAATTCTCCTCCTGCACCGGGTTTTCCCTGGGGCAGCCGAGCAGGCAGGGAGGAGAGACCGTGGAATCGCAGAAAGTAACTAGAGGAAAAGGAGGTCCATGGAGTGGCTGAGAACTTAGGGCTTAGAAATCCCACAAGGGTGACAAAGCCAAGTCACCCCATCTCGAGACAACAGCCACTGGCAGTGGGTGAGTACTGGCTCACAGGGTGACTGCCAGGTGGAAGAAGAAGGTCCCGAGACAACAAGCTGTTCACTGGGGCTGTGCAGGAGGAACTTTCAGGTGTGGAGTCCTGCCAGGATTTCCTGCGCATTCCCACAATAACCATGGTGGGCAGCACGCGCCTCCTGTATTTGCAGAGCGTGCTCCAGGCACAATGCCAGGGGTGCCAGGCACAGATTTACCTGACAGCAGTGAGCAGAAGACACGAGACCCCTCCCTACCGGAAGCTTGCGGGAATTCTGCGCTTGCAGCAACCCCACGCTAAGTTCTTAACATGGTTTAGGCCTCAACTCTGAAGCAGGTGCTCACACCATCCTCATTTTCACACACAGGGAAATGAGTTGACAGCTATTTGCCCAGGGCCAGATTGCGTGGGGCCAGGCTGGCGTGACCTCACCAGGGCACAAGCTCCTCTCCCTGACCCTCCTCAGCATCTTGGGGTCACACTGGGTCTCAGGATTCTTCCAGGTCCCTGCTACCACCACTATGGATGTCATAGGATTCTGGAAATGGCCCCACCAAGCCAAGGCTCCTTTTCCTTGGGACCAGACAGAGATGGGAGGCTTTTCCCCAGTGGGGCCATGCTTGACCCAATCTGGAAGGTCAGAAACTGGGAAGTGAGAGGCACAAGGGGAGTTCAGCATGTGAGGGTGAGCGGGCTTGAACACCTGCAGCCCAGCACCCTACCTGAGGCCTGGACTGAATGATGGGTTCATTACTGACACGCTGCAAACGGGAGTAATTTCTTAGCTGTTCCTCCAGGCCCGTCTTTCTCATTTCTCAGAGCAGAAGCCCACCCTCTTGCCTGCCTCAGAGCTTCCCCAAGACCACCCCTACTCTGTCCACAGCTGCCAGGATAACGTGGCTCAGACTCTCCACAACTGCCCTGGGTGGAAGGTTTGGGAACCCACAAACGGCGAGCTGGCCCCGCCCACCTCCTGGGCGTCCTGTTCTCTCAGTCTCCGCGTGAGGGGTGGCAGGACAGCGGCAGCCATCACCTGACTGGGCACTACCACTGCGCCAAAGGCAGGGGAGGCCCCAGAGGGGCGGCAGCATCCATCATGCTTTCGACCGGCCCCTGCCGCCTCTGGGAGCCGTCCAACCCTCGCAGCTCTGTTCTCAAGGTCACCCTGTCCCGCATGCCTTCTAACAGCTGCTCTCGGACAAGGCCGGAGCAATGCAGAGCTGTTTCTGAGGACAAAGATTCGGCTCCACTGGCAGGATTATATTCAATAAGCAGGCGTATCGTTACTGAGCTCTTCTCTCTGCTCGTGGCTCAGCAACATCTTCTGGTAGTTTAGTCCCACATGATCAAGCAGGGAGATGCATTTTTCCTCTTTCAACCAAATGAGGGTGAGAAACATTCATTACTGAGCATTTGCCAGGAGTCTTTACAAAGAAGGAGACTGACTCTCTTCCTGGGCTTCTACTCAGTGCCAAACAAGAAATGTGGTGCTTAACTTAGGTTCCCTCATTGACTCCTCGTCACGATCCAGTGAGTTAGTTATTGCCAGCAAGGTCACAGAGCTGGTAAGCACTGGACCTGGCGTATAAATCCAGATCTGCCGCCATCATCCACACCCCATGCACAACATTGTGCTGGTTTATGGAAAGGCCTGAGCGGCAGCAAAGCAAAAGATCACAAAAAGCAGGGGCCCAGGTGGCGGGGCAGTCAGGAAGGCCACAAGGAGGCGGCAGGGCAGTAACCGAGCTGTGGGAGGGTGAGGCAGAGTGGGGGTTCCAGGTGCAGGAACAGTGGGAGAAAAGGCACAGAGGCAGAGACACAAAGCTCATGACAGGGGACAGGAGATGACAGGTCAGGGGGAGCAGAAATGTGTCCAGGAGCCATGGGGGACACACTGGGAAGTCTCCACATCTGAGTTTTGTCTCAGGGAAAATGGACCCCAACCAGTGTGTGAGGAGAAGCGTACATGACAAACACTGTTCCAAGGAAGCTCCATGTGGCCAGTAGGTTGATTTAAACCAAAATCCACCTCTGGGGCTGGCTGTGGAGGGAAGGAAAGGAGGAAGGAAGGAAGGCAGAGAGAGGCAAGGCCAGCAGGGCAGGGAACACACCAAGGAGCATGGATTCTCTTCCAAGGGTGGCGGCAGCTTCTGAAGGGTCTTAAGTGGAGAGGTGGTGGGAACCGGTGTGGCCGTTCATAACGTCCGTGATGGCCCACCAAATATTCCCCATCCCCATGCTCTTTTTACAATGTGCCACTGATACTCTGTCTAGGGGGGAACCTGGGCGGGTTCCCAGGTTGACTCTCAAGACTGGGTGAGAAAAGGCAGCACAGCCTCTGTCTGGAAACTGGCCCTTCAACCCAGCCACCATGCTGTGAGGAAGCCCAAGGCAGCCTACGTGAGGGAGGAACACATGGAGACACCAGCCTGGCAAGAAATGGAGGCCCCCACCAGCAGCAGACCTGTGGGTGAGGGAGCCTTCCAATGATTCCAGGCCCCAGCCTTGGAGCCATCAGCTGATGCCCAATGAAACAGAGACATACCTTCCCTGCCAGGACCTGTCCAAACCATACAGATTCCTGAGCAAAGTGAATATTCACATTGTCTTATGCCACTAAGTTTTGGGGTGTTTGTGATATAGCAT